GTTTTACCTCCTGCTCTAATTGGGGTAACAGAAGGAAATCGTACTCAACACACTTGCGTGTTGGTGCCCTTCCTTCAGTTCTCCCCTGTTCTAGTCTATCCTATCCGGGCGGTCTAAGACTAAAGTCCCGCTCGCAACTTTTGCACGTACTTCATGACTGGTAAGTAGTCAGTAACTAGTGTGCTTTTGTAACTACACCTACCTTTCTCTCTTGCCCTCTTCGGTTTCTCTTTCTGTCTTTTCCTTTCCTTTCTTTCTAAGGCTTGTTAGAAGGCTATTAAGGTCTTACCTCGATCATTCGCCGGTTTTCCGGAAGAGATGCATGGCCCTCTACACCTATCTTTCCTTCTTGCCTTTTCCTCTTGTCTTTTCCCTTTTTCCTTTTCCTTTCCTTTCCTACGGCTTGTTAGGTTGCTATTCAGGTGTTCGTAAGCCTGGACCACCCGCATCTTGATCCCCCCGGAAACCCTACAATGCGCCGGAACACTTCTCCGTGTGTGTGCCACCGCCTGTGTCAAAGGCTCGTGACAGTTGCAGGGGGACGGGTCACCGCTGATACTGCCCGTCCAACGAAGAGGGTATCAGTTGGTGCTGAAGCGGTGGAGGACGCTCCACTGTGTACCTGCGAGTTTGAACTGTTGAGCAAGCTGTTTTCACCCCACTCTTCCGTAAAGGGCTAACGCGTGATGTTCAGACAATTCAGTTTTGCCGACCCAGCATTCTTTCGGTTATGCAAGTCAAGGTCTAATGCACTGGTAATGTACTCCCTATAGAGTGGAAGATCGAAACCGATTTAGCTCTTGCGAGCATCAATCTAAGTGTCTGTCACTTGAACATGGCACTCTCACGTGGCAGTCTCAAAATGGTGATCCTATCTCGGCACCGCACCACGTGTACCACCAGATCAAAGCCTCACAGCTGCAAAGCTCGAGAAACCTGTTCGGTCGTTTTCTCAGTCTCGCACAATCTATCAGAAGCGTTCACATTGCCACCAGAAAACCAACGAAATGAAAAAGCGCAACACGTGGCACCGCTTAAAGTTTGTCTACTGTCGACATGTCTATCTTTCACTCGCGCGCCGCATGTAGGAAACAATAAAAGGTTGCATCAGCCTCATTCGTATCTCTTAGCCTGGACTTTGGCACGAAGGCCAGTGAACCCATTTCGATCTTCTTTCCTGCCCTTGCGCTATTTGCTTCTCTGCCTGTCTTGTTGGAACACGAAGAATCGGATACATGATGCTAGCATGTTTGTGGATTGTTCCTTTCGTTCAGTTGCACTGTCTGAGACTCGGACAGGAGTTCAAACTCAAATGCAAACGCACCCATCTGAGGGCAAAAATCTAGTGGCAACGAGCAGGAATTTCCCTATGAATTTCATGCACTAGCAAAGCTTGCGGTTGGCTACAGCTAGGGGGTCCATGACATTCTTGTCATCATGAATAAGCAGGACGCCTCTTAGTCTTTGTGTAGTTTGTTTGGGTCATATCTGAAGTGTTCTGAAGTGACCCAAACCCACCAATATCCAAGAATGCAACATGCCAGGCTTTAAATAAACGAAGCCAAGCACGCTTTTAGAGCCATGTTCCACTTCACATTGGAGGTGTAGTTGGTCTGCCTGCTTGTTTCAAACATCTTCAATCGTAAAGATCACAAATCCCGTTGGATTTGCAGTTCTGGCAACATCACTTTGCAGTTTCGGATTGCGCTGCTGTCGCGTAGGACCTGGTCCAAGGAGCCTATGCGGGTAACCAAACGTTGGCTGGGAAATGATCAGGTACATCGGAGAATGTAGTGCTCCGCGATCTCCATTTCCACTCGTTCCTTTGCTAGTAATTACAAGTGCCTCGCTAGTAGTAACAAGTGCCTTACTAGTAGTAACAAGAAGCTAGTAATTAGAATTATAATTAAATTCTTATTGTTACTAGTAGTAAGGCACTTGTTCCTAGTAGCGTGGCACCTGTTACTACTAGAGGGAGAATGTAGTGCTCCGCGATGTCCATTTCCACTCGTGCTATGGCCTAAGCACGCTTATCTGATACAGCGCTTGTACGCAAGGCTTAGTGACTCACGACTTGTCGGGTCTTGCACCAGCCATTCGAACTAAAACCACCCCAAGATGATCCATAGCAAAATCAAAAAGAGAAGCACCACCGACACAATGTACAACCACTTTTTCTGTCGCCTCATAGTCTCCTCCATGATCGCAATGTATTCCAGCGGTGATCTTCCTGTGAGAGGGTCTACCTCTGGAAGCGGGTCGTCTGCGGGCTTCTTGACCAGGAGCTTTTGCACTTCAAGCAGGGTTGTTTGATTCGGGCCTACTACGTCTTTGGATTCCTTGCGTTCCTTGTTTCCAGCTCCTCCTTTGCTGTCATCATCCTCAGCTTCCTCTTTGAGCTCCCTTGTCTCCTTGTTCTCCGTAGCTTCCGGCTTGAATTGACCTTTCGATGGGCGTCTTCTCATGCTACCACCTGACCTGCAGGAGAGGCAATCAAAGGGATTTTGAGGACCCTGGGTAAACCACCGGGCTGCATCACTGTACCCTTGCCAATAGAGCCCCCGCAAGGCATCCACTTCAGGTGGAAGAAGCGCCCACCAGGTGGGCACTGAGGGTGCTACGATGTCGGCGGACAAGTTCCGCCACACTGCCGCCACCCGAATCACCAAGTCGCTCTGAGTGCCTTTCCAGGGCACCAGGAACTGTGGCCAAAACATGCCGTCAAAGTAAGCATTCCCATTGTAGAAATAAGGCCCAACACCGCCCAGCATTGGAATATGGCAAGAAGCCCTAAGAGTGTGAAAAACTGACTCCTTGCTGCTGAATTGATTGACCACTTGGGCTTTCAAGAAGGGGTACTTGAAGGACACTCGCGTTAGCAGAACGCGAAGCCGGCCAGAAAGGCTTTCGTGCGCATTGTCTGGCAAAACCTTGTGCAAAACGTCTTCAGCTGCAGGAAATACTCGAAAAGGATTGTACATGCACTCGGGCTGCTTTTTCAACACCATTTCCATACATTCTCTGACATTCAGCCCTGTGGCCAAAGTTGCAGCCACCAGCGCACCACCACTCGAGCCACTGAAGATCAGGTTTGCAGGGAAGTTGGTTGTGGCAGTCTCGGGTGTGAGGTCTGGGGGCAACATGTGCTCCTGCAACCATGTCGCCACACCAAAGTGATAGCAATACACCCATCCACTCGAATCAAAGGCAATGCTGACCTTGCGCACTGTCTGTGCTTTTGCCTCACTTTTGCCTTCAACTCGATGGTGAAAATCCGTATAGAGCATCAACCCATTCATCATGACGAGGAAGTAGATCACTAAGACCACCCTTGGAATTTGCATATTCCAAAAGTTGTACATGCAAGACAGTGCATGGCAGGTGCAAATGGCGAACTGAAACATCTGGAGTTCTGTCATGTGCACCTTCACGAGGGGAGTTCCTCCGCGCGAAACTGTCAGAAGTGACCAGCTGTAAAAGCCATAAACCACCGCCCGAGTGGCCGAGTTGACCGAAGCTGGAAAATAGGTGTCACCTCCGCAGGCATAGCGACACGGGAAGAACCAGCCCCACATATTGATGAGCCGCAGCCACACATGTAGAAAGGTAATCTTTTGGAACTTCTTCCGAATGACCACGAAAAGCGTGTCTATGAGCTCCAACTGGCAGCCATGATAGTGAAGCCAAATGAAATAGCCGAGCCGATGGCTTTCCTTCGTATACATAAAGATGTTGCCCCAAAGCGTGAAGCCTTGCATATATGCCTCTCGCAGGAGCTGACTGCAAACAAAGGCGTTGAACAGCAGCTGGGCCATGTTGTAGACTACGAGCATCTCAAAGATTCTGCTTTGCACCGGCAGCCTCGCCTCCATCAATCGTGCAGAGCAGTGAAGCATGGAAAAATATCCCAGGGATACGACGACAAGCACGCAAAGGCTCACTTGGGAGTTGTGTCCTCCAACAGTTTCTTCAAATTGGGTGGCATCCACGCTTTGCTCCCATCTCCTTGAACCCCAGCAAGCCAACACGGGCAAAACGTAGCGCACGTAGCACAAGGTCACCGCACCCGCGGCAAAAACCCAGCGCCGCTTCAGCCGACCGCTGTGCTCCACCAGCACATCCACCAGCATCAAAGCACGGCGGCGAACTTCCGCAGCAGACAGCTCAGTGGCTTCCCGCCCGGTCTGTGTGGTCTCCTGGCGCTTCTCTCCGAAGAGAAGAGCCATGTTGAGAATTTTCCAGGATCGAACAGTTCTAACACTTGAGCGAAAGCTTACAGGACGAAAATTCCACCACAAGCAACTGAAAGTTGCAGAGTTCGAACCTTGGTCTTAGCTAGGAAGGCCCTCACCCGGGCAACTGCATGCTGTGCGATCAAGCCCGTAGGCCCGTAGCTGCTTTTTGCAGGCAGATTCGATTGTAGGGGGCTTCTGCGCTTCTCACTTCGAGAACCTTAGGGAAGTCACTAGGCCACAATGGAAGAAGCTGAGACAAACAGTTCAGAAATTATGTAATTCATTGTAATTATGTATATTTTCCGTATATTCCTATAAACCTGTCCAAGCTGTACCTGCTGTTAAGGGGTGGTTGAGGCCAAGTCGTAAGATCTTAAAGCCCTGGAGAAGCAAAAGGAGAACTCGGACTGTCAGGCTCTCTAAAACCGCTCCGCAAATGTAGATAGTGGGCCGCTCTGAGATTTGGCGAGAAGCGTCAACATTCCCTTCTCCTCGGCTGTCTGTGGGCATCGCGCGTGTCAAGGTTTCAGACCAGACCCTCCCCAGCAAATACTGGCTTCGAAAACATCAGGTCATCAATTCGGCCTTCGCCGAGTCAACGCCTCCCATGTCAAACAAGATTCGAACAGCAGGCGGTTCAAGCCTTGGCCAAGAATGCCCAAAAAAAAACATATAAAAATACAATGGGAGCATGGCTTCACGGCTTCACGAGATCTACAAAGCTGCCTCGCTCAGCTGATCTACAAAGCTTTCACTCAATTCATGTTGCTTCTGGGATGACCATGTCGCACCACAACGCTGGCAAGAGGCAGGCATCACTCTCTCCACGCTGACGAATGAAGCCCGCCAGCGCAAAGGTGTGGAATTCGCCCGAGTAGACACCCTGCTCGTCAACCTCAAACGCTGAAAAATCCACTCACGAAAGGTGGGCTATTAGGTTGGAGGCCATCGCAATTAGGTTGGAGGCCATCGCTACTAGGGTGGAGGCCATCGCTACTAGGGTGGAGGCCATCATCGCTAGTAGGTTGACTTCGCTACTACAAGTAGGGTGGAGGCCATCGCTACTAGGGAAGGACAGCAAAAAAGACACGCGCCTGTGCCACGTTGAGCTGGACTGCACCATGCTCCTTTGCTGGGATCAAACGGTTCGTCGCGGAGCACTTGCCTGAGTGAGATATTCTGCCCAAAGTGAACAAGCAATAATGTTAAGGTCGATGGCATATGGTACGGCTGGATTGAAGGACCTGAAGAGTTACCCCCAGGCTGTGAGAATAGTGAAGCCTATCAACAACCAATTATTCAATGCAAACAACAAAAAACAGCTTTGTTACCAGCCAAGCTGGCCAAAGCAACCTCTCCGATAAATTTACAATAAATACAGGAATCGCAGGATTGAAACATATTGAAACTCTTGAAGAAGTAATTAGCAGCACTCCCACGATTCAGTTACTGACTCAAGTTGCGGCTAAGCAACGAGGCAAGTAAAGGTCCACAATGCGGCCCTGCAATGCACATGCTAAACGCTGATGGAGGGCTGGAACTGCCAGGGGTAATCAAATAATCTGATTCAATGTAGTTACAGTATAACATAGTATAACCATTAATTTGGAGTCAAGCCCTCCAACCTAAGAGCGATGGCCTCCACCCTAGTAGCGATGGCCTCCACCTGAGTAGCGATGGCTTCCAACCTAAGGGCGATGGCCTCCAACCTAAGAGCGATGGCCTCCAACCTAAGAGCGATGACCTCCAACCTACTAGGGTGGGCCCAAACTCCAAAACACCTTCCACATTCATTCACTGCCAAGTTCCGAAATCACGACCAACCCGATCCCTTTGTCGCCTCGTCGTTCTGCATGGCCGCGCTTCTTGTGCTATCCTGTCTCCCTGTTCCTTCTTCCTGCCTGTCTAAAACCCTTGAGCCGAAATCGGATTGTGTCCGGTTCATCTTGGATGCCATTAAATGGCGCACTTCAGCAAGGTAGTGCAGTGCAAATCAATTCCTTTACTGCTCACTCTAATTGAATCTCCCGTCTTGTCCCTTCAGGAGTCCTTGCATTCCTTCACTTTGCTACTATCCGATCCATTTCTTCTACATCGTCCCAGCACATAGGTAGCCATCTAAAACAAGCAAATCTTATTTACTTGCTGCGTGCTCCTCCAGTTCATGCTACATTCCAATGCACCCTACATGAAAGAACCAGCCCTTCTCCACCCAAGTCTTCTAATTCTCCTTTTCTTGCCACGGTCGGAGAACTAGCTGAGCAAGCCATGGTCACATGGCGAAGGGCCGGTGAGTATGCTGTTAGGCAACTTCTAAACTTCTATTGAGTCTAAGTGGAATACTGACGGCGATGTGAAGCATGGATAATGTTTCATAAAATGCCAAATATGTATAATTACTGACTGTGGTGCTGATCAAACGGTAACCTATGCAATGCAAGCTTACACGTGCACACATTGTATCATCCAAACTAAGGCCCTAGGTTGCATGGAACCTTGATCGTTTTTCCAGCCACGTGCTCCGTGAGACCTGGCACGTGAAGGAAAGTAGGGCAGCTTGAATCCGAGAACATCAACTTGAAGGGCCTAAAATAGAAAAACAAATGCAAACCTCAAGCCCCACTGTTCTGACCGCTGAGAAGTGGGCCCTCCCCTGCGTAGGACAGCAGGGGCGATACCTGGAAGGGCAGGTTTTACTCACTTGCACCTTCGCAGGAGCACATACTTAAGCCATTTCCAGCTGCGAACTGGGTCCAAGCATGTCCAAGCAAGCATTGCAATCAAACGTCAAACCTTCCCTAATGACCCTTTTCAATTCACTCCTACCAAGCAATACCGACATAACAAGTACCACCAGGCCATCAAGAGCAGTCTCAATGGTTTGAAAGCAATCTGCAGGCTGCAACAAGCTTACAGTAGAGCAAGGCTGAACAACAAACACGTCCTTATCTTCATCCACCAACTCTTCAATGGATTTATAGATGCCACTTACAGAATACCATCCCCCCAATAGAAACACACAATAGAACATGGCATCGAATCGCACAGAAGGCCTATCTCCCTTAAATCGTTCGACAAAGGGGTTGGGGGTGCAAACGCCAATCATCTCAGTGCCTCCAGCACTGCACTAGCATCTCCATCAGTTTGGCCACCTGCCTCAAACAAAGGGCAGCAATGCTCCACGGTGGCTGCTGCGCTTGCTCCGCTTTTTCGGAGTTAGCTTTGCGGCTTTGCGAACAAAGTGGAGCAAAACCACAAAACCCCTCTTCATTGCAATGATAATGCTGTTTTGTTGTCCTTGTCAATTTCCTGGCTGGCCTGAGATGGCCAACTATTAACTATGTCTATACACAGTCAGACTCCCTCTTTGCAAGGCTACAGGATCATGCCCAAGAATGGCAGGATGAGCCTTCTCCACCCATGAGCGGCATAAGAGATTCACCATTTGTCTTGCAGTGTCCGGACCTTAAAGCTGATCAACGTTCCATGATATCCATGTGGCATGGGCCTCAATACCGCCATGCCCAAATTGGAGGCCATCGCTATTTATACAATTTGAAATGCTTTGTCCCATGATTGGAAATGCATCTGCCATCTTGGGTTCCTACTGTCGGTGGCTGTCCCTGGTGCATTCTTCACAGGCGCAAACTCCTCTTCTCGAAATGTCTCCAAGATCGCCTCAACTGACCGAATCAGCATGGACAACCCCCGAAATCTTTGGAGCCCCAGGTTTTGACAAACGGAACAGCCGTGGCTGCATATAGTTACATATACAATTACAGATTACATGTGTTCATCAAAAGCTTTTAGACCTCTCGTCTGACAGAGTTTATATAGGCGTCATTGACCAACACCTGCATAGGGAAAGAGATGGAAAGAGTGAAGGAAGCGCATTGTCTTCCACCTAAGTTTCTGCCTTTCCTTGCTGCCACCTCCAGGTCCACTGAGCTTCCGCTCGATCCGTCTGCTCATTGGGAAGACATCGAAAATAAATGCTTCAAGCTTGACACCTGCAAACTGGCTTTCTACAGTGCTTCCCCCCCAATTGTGCTGCGGAACTGTCAAGGCCATCTATCAGTTGGTGACCTTGACAACGGCTGACCTCACAGTGGCCTTGAGAGTGTTGTTGAACATGTGAGCTTCGATGGCAAGAAAGGATTTCGAGTCTGAAGGCAGGCAATGCAAGAATGGCAACACGCGTCGTCTTTCCCTACCGCACCGTTGTTGCTTTCAGGTTTGACAGTCTTGCCCTCGTCGTCCGCATAAGGAATCCTTGGCGAAACACTGGATCTCCCAATGTGGAGGATTCGGAGCATAGGTTGGGAAACCTCATGATTTGAGCTCTCCGACTAAGAGCTCATTTGGTTCGCTGGGATTGTTCAGTTTTTGAAAGTGTTTGCAATCAGGGGCTGAACACACTGGGGGACTCACGCCTTTTCAGAGGGCCTCATGCTCCCTTCAACTGCAGCCTTGGCGCTTCTTATGCGCCAAATGAAACATGGTCGACATCTTTGGCACAACCACCTGCGTCATGAGAGCCCATGGTGGGCCCCATCGCCCATTTTCACCCTCACTGTATCTCTCTTTTTTTTCGGGCTGGTGCTGGGTCCTAAAGTTGACCATGGAACATAGACATAGCTCGTAGCTTTGACAAGAAAACATGATTGCTGATTGCCCATATGTACAAACATTTGATGTAATTACCTCTGACTGGCAAAGTCGATTCAGAAGTCCCAAAGCAACATATAGCCTTCGGTCCACTTTCAGGTCCGTAAGGTCCAGGCATCCAACAAAAAGTCCACGGAGAAGAAATGGTTGCAAATATTTCCAGCCTGAGCGAGGGCTATCCATTCACCTATGAAGAAACAAACGTAATTGAGAACAGTCAAAACATTACATCCTGTTTGCCACTTCACCGCCCCCTTACTCTGGGTGCCATGACACCGAAGACTAGCCGTCCGGAAGCATCACGCTGTGCCTTGCGTGCATCATCCAGTTCACCTGGCGAATCGGCAAATGGACCTTTTGCTTGCTGACCGTCTCAATTTGGATTGCCGGATTTGGCAGTGCTTTCGTGACAATTACAAATATATAGTAAATATACAATTCTAATATACAACAATCGAAAAGCGAAAGCCGAGAAAAATAGAAAATGAATGACTCCAATGCTGAACATAAAGAAAGCAACACCAAACTCACCAAAACCTCAAGCAAAGAAGCTCGAAAATAGCATGGAACTCTAGTAAAAGCAAGCAAAAAGCAAAACAAATAAATGGATGAGTGTTTGATAGCATTAACGTGCTTCTTTTATTTTGAGTTTCGACCTGTACATTGTCGTGTTTGTTGTCTTCATTGTAGTGTTTACTCTCGGAGTCTCGGTTGTGTGAAGCGTGTGTTCTTTGTTTCTTATGACTCTTGCCTCATTTCCGGTGAATTCGCACTGAGACTTGTGCAAATGTTTGCACCGATGTGCCAGGATCCGGCTCTAATCAAGCCAGTGACACTGTACTCAACCACACTGGGCCGACCGCCCTTCTTCGCCATGACTCCAACCTTTTCGTCGGGTGAAGCTTTCCAAACCTCAACAGGTATATAGATCCTTGTCACATCGGGCAACTGCTTCTCTGCTGCAAAAACAAGGCCTGGGGCCGATCAGCTCGACATGACACCGAAATCATCAAATTCAACTGGGGACATAGCGCACTTATTTCCACAGTCTGCGGCTTTGGAGAGACAATACCTGTCGTTTCACTCGAACAGCTCTTACATGCTCTGCCACCCTGATGATGGAACAGGAGATGTGGTCTACCTGACCTTGCTTCTCTGAAGGCAACTGAAACTCCGTCAACTCCAAGCACCCCACCCAACGAAACGAGGATCTGCTGGTCTGCAAAGCGGATTGTCCACCGAGAAGACATGGAGGCTCTTGACCTCGACCAAGTCGATCAAAAGGCAAAACCGTTTCGTGAATGTCCTCCAACCTGCTAGCGAGGGCCTCCAACCTACTAGTGATGGCTATGAATCGTGCGACTGAGCATGAAATTGTCGCGGGGCTTTCCATTTGGAGCCACTTGGCCCGAAAAGCGTCATCCTATTTCTGCACTCCACACATGCACCGCTATCACTTGCTGACTTCCAGGTCTGCCAAGTAGGCACCACTCAGCAAAAATAAATGCCTGTGGTCCCCACGCCAGAAGAGCGGAGCTGGTCTAAAAGGCCAGATTTTTTCAAGGCCTAAGGCCAGGGCAAAGTGACCTTTTGACCCCCTGGTTTGAGGGTCACTTCGGCCTGCAAAAGGTCACCTAGGGACTCCAAAAAGCTCACTTTGAAGAAGCTGCTATAATGTGTATGCTTATATAATTTATATGTATATATTTATGACATCAATGTTCCTTTAACGTGTTTTACACTATATATACGTATATAATCATATTAGTGTGAAAAATCTCAGTGTGTAACACCGAGGCACCGAGAACCCACATGCCACCTGCTGAGCCAAGAACTGGATAGACTCCACCATTTCCATCTGGATTGCACGCGATGTTGCCAGGAGACCTGAGCAACATGTGAGTAGTGAAGTAGATCCGCAACTCTGAAAAAAATTCCTTGGAAGGGATTGAGGATTGCAAAATTATATACATCGGATTGACTTGGAAAATCAGTCCAACTACCCTTGGCCCATCTTTGTCTATTCACTTCTTGAATCTAAGCTCCGGACTCTAGAATGATCTTTCCTTCCGGCGTGAGGCATGGCATGGTGCCCTGCTGAAAGAACCAGACCTACCAAAGCTCAATGAGGGTGGGAGGCAACACAAATCCCTTGAGCACATCTCATTACTCTGGCATCTCCGCATTCAGCCCACAGCTCACATACATGCAAAATTGGATTGACGTGGTTTTAGCACCCTGAGGCAAGGACATCCTCTTTAGACATGCCAAAGAAACTATGCCTTACCGGAAAACACTCTCTTGCGAGACGCACACATACATGCAGGGAGCAAAAGTGACTATGATGCAGGCTGTTCGAAGAAATCCACAGTTTGCTGGTGTGTCATTGGGCCTTGGACTGGGCATTGGCAAGGTCGCTTACTCGGCAAACCTGGCCTGGCCCCTTTACAAAAGTTTCGAGCAAAGCTGCACTGCTGACATTCCACAACAGTCATGACATTCTGTTTCTCGTCCTTTGCCGTGCTGAATTTCAAGGGCTGCTCTTGTCATGACGAGGAAGGGCACCCAAGGCTTGGGGCCGCCGGCCTCTCTGTGGCAAACAATGCTGGAAACCTCTGCATTTCTGATGCTTTTTGTTTCGGATGTCGCAAGAATGAAGCACCAAGCTAAAAGGATCTAAAAGGTACAATTGGGAGTTACAAGGAGTACACGAACACGACAACCTGTGATCAAAACATAGCAGGCCACAACGGTTCACGGCCTTCACTGCCAACAAAAGCTGTCCTACCCAGCCTCCCCTGCCAAGCTGACCAAGCGACGAAGCTTCTCCACCTCGAAGCAGGCATTGGGAAAAACCATGCCAAAAAATAAATTACTTTACAAAGAGTGATCCCCACCATGACATTTCAAAACAGCCACGTTGACATCACCCTCGTTGTGTATTTCAGCCCATAGCACAAGTCCTTCAGCGCCAAGTCTTACTGTTTTGTGCTTTCATCAGAAGATCTGTGCCCAACTAATAACACAACTCAGATCATTTCAGTAGTGGTTATGTGTTTGTGATTGTGGTTATGGTTGTGGTTGTGTGTTTGTGGTTGCGTGTTTGTGGTTGTGCTTGTGGTTGCGTCTTTGTCGTTGTGGCTCTGGTTGTGTTAGTGGTTGTCTGCTTGTCATTGCGTGCTTGTGACTGTGGTTGTGTGTTTGTGATGGTGTTTGTGGTTGTGTTTGTGGTTGTGTGCGTTTGATTGCGTGTTTGTGGTTGTGTGTTTGTGGTTGTGTGTTTGTGGTTGTGGTTGTGGTTGTGTATTGGTGGTTGTGTTTGTGGTTCTGTGCTTGTCATACGTGTTTGTGTATGTGGCTGTGTGTTTGTGATTGTGTTTGTGGCTGGGTGTTTGTCATACGTGTTTGTGTTTGTGATTGTGGCTGTGCGTTTGTTGTTGTCTGTTTGTGGTTGTGTGTTGGTGGTTGTGTTTGTGGTTGTGTGTTTGTGGTTCTGTGCTTGTCATACGTGTTTGTGTTTGTGATTGTGGTTCTGTGCTTGTCATAAGTGTTTGTGTTTGTGATTGTGGTTGTGTGTTTGTGGTTGTGTGTGTGTTTATGGTTGTGTGTTTGTGGTTGTGTGTTTGTGGTTGTGTGTTTGTGGCTGTGTGTTTGTGGTTGTGTGTTTGTGGTTGTGTTTGTAGTGTGTGTTTGTGGTTATGTGTTTGTGGTTGTGTGTTTGTGGTTATGTGTTTGTGGTTGTGTGTTTGGGATTGCGTGTTTGCGGTTATGTGTTTGTGATTGTGGTTGTGGTTGTATGCTGTGGTTGAGGTCCAGCGCTTGTGTTTGTGATTGCGTGTTCCTGGCTGTGTTTGTAGTTGTGTGTTTGTTGTTGTGTTTGCGGTTGTTGTGTTTGTGAGTGTGTGCTTGTGGTTGTGTGTTTATGGTTGTGTGTTTGTGGTTGCGTGTTTGTGGTTGTGTGTTTGTGGTTGTATTTGTGGTTGTGTTTGTGGTTCTGTGCTTGTCATACATGTTTGTGTTTGTGATTGTGGCTGTGTGTTTGTTGTTGTGTGTTTGTGGTTGTGTGTTGGTGGTTGTGTTTGTGGTTGTGTGTTTGTGGTGTGTTTGTGGTTCTGTGCTTGTCATACGTGTTTGTGTTTGTGATTGTGGTTCTGTGCTTGTCATAAGTGTTTGTGTTTGTAATTGTGGTTGTGTGTTTGTGGTTGTGTTTGTGGTTGAGTGTTTGTGGTTACGTGTTTGTGATTGTGTGTTTGTGGTTGTGTTTGTGGTTGCGTTTGCGATTGTGATTGTGGTTGTGTTTGTGGTTGTGTGTTGGTGGTTGTGTGTTTGTGGTTGTGTTTGTGGTTCTGTGCTTGTCATACGTGTTTGCGTTTGTGGTGTGGTTGTGTGTTTGTGGTTGTGTGTTTGTGGTTCTGTTCTTGTCATACGTGCTTGTGTTTGTGATTGTGGCTGTGTGTTTGTGGCTGTGTGTTTGTGGTTGTGTGCTTGTGGTTGCGTCTGTGGTTGTGTGTTTGTGGTTGTGTTTGCGGTTGTGTGTTTGCGGTTATGTGTTTGGGATCTTACAGAGTCCAACCCTGAACACACAGAAAAGAACCTCGCGCGAACCCTGCACTCAACTTCTCCCCCTTTTTTCTTTTAAGAGGTGGTGGAAAGGTCGGCCAGCCTGTAAATACTTTACACTGACCACCTGGCTACAACCTACATAGCCAACATCAGCCGCGCGCGCTGACAAACCCCATCAGCCAAGCGCTGACAAAAGGACCCCCATGCCCAAAGTTTCGATCGGGCAAGGGCGGGCGGGAGATCGAAAATTCTGGGCGGCCCCCGCAGTTGCACACCGGACTACCCCGGTTTCTGATCACTGTGCTCAGGCCACACAGCTGCAACATCAAACGTTCTGTGTCCTGACATGTTTAAGTCCTAATTGCAAGTAAACAGAACAACCCAACAAGGACTCCACAGATCCCTCTTTTCGCCCCTCCGGTTCCCTACGGTTCGACCCGCGGGATCTTACAGAGTCCAACCCTGAACACACAGAAAAGAACCTCGCACGAACCCTGCACTCAACTTAAGAGGTGGTGGAAAGGTCGGCCAGCCTGTAAATACTTTACACTGACCACCTGGCTACAACCTACATAGCCAACATCAGCCGCGCGCGCTGACAAACCCCATCAGCCAAGCGCTGACAAAAGGACCCCCACTCGCAGAGCAAGCGCACGGCAAACCCATGGCTACCCCGCACCTTTTTTACTGCCAAGGGTCCGTGGTCCGCAAAGAGGAATGCTTGGGACGCTTTGAAATGCCCTCGGCCTTCTTGTGGGCTCGAGAATCACGCACTTCCTCATAGAGGTCCATTCCTGCGCGCATGAGATCTTGCAAAACCAAACCCTGGAACGACCGCAAATCAAATCTTAGTCGCAGTCTCTTATCGAAGCGACTGTAGTCGCCATTTGTGAGGGAGTCCGCCTCCTCGTTCTGCAGCCGTGGCAGCCAATGTAGTCTAAGCTCCGCTCCCCTGTCTTGAAGCTGCGCGGCAAGTTCCATCAGCAAGATGCACAGAGGGAATTTTGTGGTCAGAAGCCGCGACACGAGGTTGCTGTTTCCTCTGTTGTCGGTAGCGGCTGAGCAGTGGAATCCGCATGCCTCTCCGGGTGGTACACCAAACAACATCACCGCCGCTAGCGTTGCTAGAAGCTCCAGCGATGCGATTTGGCGATAAGCTTCGCCAGCCATGTACACCCAAGGCGCAGTAACATGGTCCAGCCGCTCGGAGAACCACCTGCACTGCTTGGTGTTCTCCGAATCTAGAGCCCAACCTGCGATCCAGACTTCGTTGCCCTCGGCTTTTGCATCAGTTCTGAAGAGCTCCTTTTCGACGGCGTGCGCCTTCCCAGCAGAAGTTAGCCTGCCGCCTCCACCTAACGCCTTCGCCAGGAACTTGAAGATCAAGGAGATCGCTCGGGGCACTTTGTAGGCATGACGATGGTCCAAGGAGGCTACCCACGCGTAAACTGGCCCCAAGAAAGGTCTGAGATGCCCAAGTGCAGTTAGCGCGAAAGACAACAGCCCCAGCACCGCACTGACATCCGCAATCTTGACACAGTCTGCAGCCGTTGTTTTTGTGAGCCATTGTAGTAGCCATTGTATAAGCCACTGGGCACGCTGCACAGACAGTCCGAGCTTGCTTTCTCTCAGATTTAATTCAAGCCCTACCCAACAGAACTCACCCCCTCCCTTGAACTTCCGCCAAGAAAAGGGCAATCCTAGTAACACAAAGAAAAAGATTACCAGGCACACCATCTGCACACTATCTTTGTCGTTGTGCGCCAGCCACAAGAGGTCATCTACATAGACAAGCATGAAGATCTCCCTTTTCCCAAGCAAGTAGAAAGCTGCACGGCCGAGTCCCGACATTAATCGTGACCAGTGGTATGCTGCACTCGAAATTAAAAATGTACCCACTTTATTCAACCAGAGCTTGTCACTTCCACCAACACCAGTTTTGCACGCTTGCAACCCCCAGTCGGCCGCTGCGATCTTCACGAGCCTATGCGCACGCTCCACATCTCCAGTCAATCCAAAGCATTGCCCAGGTAGCTCTTGGAGCGCAGCGCGAAGCTCGCCAGCACCCGGTGAGCGTATTTGGTCACGCACCCGAATTGCAGAATTCACTGTGATGGTGCCGTCGTGCACGACTCGATACGTGCCATCCTTCTCTTCGAGCGCGCCCAAGGAAGCAACAGCTAGCTGCTTTCCAAATTGCGCTCGGGCCTCTGCCGTGGTCACCTCGACCATTGCACCCAGCGCTGCCTCCGCCTGGAACTGCTGTTGGACTTCGCCCGCGTGCTCCCTTGCAGACAAATAGTTTTCCCGCTCAGCTCCAGGCTCGCAGAACCCACTATCATATTTCCGCCACTTCTCCTTTTTCTCAAAGACCGAAGGCACCCGCGGTAAGCACACCCCAGGCCCCAGACGCACACCCTTTGCGAAAGACACACTGGAAGAAAAGAAAACTCTGCTGTCAGGATCGCCGGAAAGGCGGAGCAGCTCCTCCATCGCCGCCAGGTAAAAGGGCTGCCCCTCCGTCCGCTCCCTCACCGGGAGCTTGGCCCCGGCATATTCCAACGCAGTAAAAAGAAGCTCACGTCCTTCAGCCAACACTTCCGAACTGAACGGGTTGTCTGAGACCTTGCCCAGCGACAGCTTTGCAGCTAAGCTTACTAGGTTCACGTGCCGCACTAGGATCTTCAGGAGCTCCTTGCCAAGACTTTCGGCAAATCCCAGCGACGGCATGTCCCCGGCGCATCTCCGCCTGCTCGGACACCACCTTCCCGGTGAGCACAAGCCGAAACCATCGCAAAATGGCACCCTTTTCCCAAACATTCTAGCGGTCAGCGGGGGCCCCCTGCCCCAGACTCCATCTCCCAGCTGTGGCTTGACGTGGCCATCTTCGTCCTCATCAGAACTGTCTTCAGCCACTTCCAAGCTACGCGGT